AACGACGAGATGTTCGCGTGAGAGAGAATTACGACGGAGGGAGCTTCAGGTGTTGCTGGCGTAGGATTAGAAAAAAAGTGCATGCGTGCGTGCGTGTATTGTGGAAACGCAGTGGTATGAAAATCGTTGGCCAAAAATGTAATCTCGTCGGAACGCGCGTACTCGCTCGATCTCGAAATTCGAGAAGGCCACAATCTCGTTGCAGCGAACGCAATTTGTTGTTACTCTACGAGCGCGGGACAAGATGAGACGCGTGGAGGCGTGTGATTTGCACGAGACTCCCGTGGATTCCGAGCTAGTTTCAGTTCATAGTACTGCCAAATCTCGTGCTGGCTGCGAGCGAGCACCTCGCTCGGACGTTGCACATTTCGTGTTGCTTATTTTTGTCGCTGACAACGCGACGCGAATGCACGCTGCAAGACGAAAGCTTCGTTAAGTTAGTTAACCCTTTGCTGTTACACTCTAAAGAATCTAGTGAGATGACACAAATCAATTATAGATGCAAAATTTTACTCATATATATTTTAAAAAGTAAAAGTTACATTGGTATATAAATACATATTCTAAAAAAGTTTAGAAATTTTAATGTTTAATATTTTAACGTTATAATACTTAATATTTTTTTTAATGATGTAACGTTTTGAAGTATTTTAACGTTAGTTTAAGTACGTAAATAGTGTTTTTTAATGTTAAAAAATAAAGTTTAATTTTTTTCTATTAAATTGCTTACGTTTTGCGAATTTTATCGCACTTTATTTTCATTTATTTCTCAGTATTTCTCATTACAATATGTTCAGAAAAATTGCAGTTTTACATTGCCAAGTGTAGAAATCATTAAAAATTACGCACAAATCTTTCTTTTTTTCTATTTTCCTAAATTTTGCAAAAGTTCAAAACATTTATAAATTTTTAACTCTATTCTTAATGTCGATATATGAACGCTTATTCAAGGTCAGGCGCGAAATAAGAAAAGAAACCCGACATGCGAAGCGTAGAAATTGGTTTCTTTCATTAACTGGATTTTTAATAAGCAGAGCAATGGCTAGTCTACAATGGGAGTAGGCAGTATAGAGTAAGAAGTAAGGTTTTCTTGGAGTGTTATTTTATTTTTGTCTATACAAGTAATTATTTCGCGTTTTTCAACACACGTCTTTCATTGGCTAACAGTAAGGATAGTAGGCAGTGAGAAATGGGAATTGTTCATTTCGTGATTCCCGTTGTTTCTTCACCGAAAAATTATAGTTCACTCTCTACTCCTACATCCTCTTACTACCTTCATTGTAGACTAGCCATTACACTCTTCATTTTACTATCTTAAATCTGGCTCGCCGCTTGCTTCCTCCGAATTTGCCAAAGTAGTTTGAAAGATCCACACAAATTCATATGTCTTTCCGTATATACCTGATTAATTTGCATTGAAAGGGTTGCCGATGGCGGGTATCCGCACGATACGATTATCGGAATACGAGGCGTCGTCATACTGCGATCGATAACGCGCCAAGTCGCCAGTGTGCCAATTGGTTTCCCTGCACCGCTTGCTGGTTGGGTCGGTGGCGCGTGTTTACATACGACCAAGAGTACAGCATCCGCTGTGGGAGTACACTTCAGGTCGTGTTCCACCATGTCCTTTTGCAAAGCATTTTCACGACCTTCGCGGGCAATCGCGCGAAAGCTGCGTTTCGGTGGCGGCAGCACAGATGGTGGTGGAAGTGGTGACGGTGGCCGCCCGATACCCTCGGCGTCGCGAGAGATCGATAAACGGCGGCTTCAGCTGAGTACGGCGGCCTTGCCTGGGTCGCGACGGAACGCGTACGGTTTAACGAGACGCGATGTACGACTCAAACGTATCTTGCGATCGGCGCGGTCGGATCGTCACGCGGAAGTAATCTCGAAATAATCTCGTGACTAAATTTAACGGGCAAAGCAATCGGTCGATGGACGATGAAAATAGCGACGATTCCTGCGACGGATTCGCGGAGGGCAGGTGTACGCAAAAAAAGAAAATATCTTTCAACATAAAACTTTTACATGGATTTATTTTTTCTAAAGATAAATGTAGCCACTTATTTAGCCACTTGTTTCTGATCCGTCACTGATGATAATATGTAATCATTTACCACATCGTGCGCGTTTCACGCACGCATCGAATCTTGTTATTTGGTCTCGCGCTTATGCGCGATATTTTGTGCCGCGCCAAAAAAGCATCGCTACGTCAGCCAGAAACACAAGTCTCGCTTTAAGCGCGCCTCCGGGTGATCTTAGCCAGTGTGTCGTCACGTGCTATACTTGAACCCGTGCAGTAACGACAGCGCAATGACTTCTCTCTAGCTAGCCTGCGTATTGTGTCGTCTGTCGCGCGCGCCGCCGTTGAATGCACGTGCCGCGTGAAATTTTATATTTCGTTCAACGTTTTCGCGAGCGCGCGCTTTTGCGTCGTTTGCTTTTTTTCTCGCGCATTTATATTAAATTCCGATTTACGAATTTAATCTCTCTATTTGACTCAGCATGTTATCAAATTCGTTTCGTGATATTCTAGAGAAACATTAAGCAGAAAAAAGTATCAATTCAAGTTGAGTAATTAATTTTTGAAAAGAGAAGTAAAACAATTTAAAAATTAATTTACATAATACTATGTGTGTCTAGTTTATAGAAAATATAGAAACTATATAATAATATGCATGTGTGGCAATATCAGTTGATTCCGATAGAAGAAAGTTACATCGCTCGAGAGCGAATTAACAAATAGTGAACTAAAATGAGATAAAATCGATTATTTGGGAAACATATACAAGAATTCACAATTAATGCCAATATGATCTTTACTTATTCCACGCTTCTCGATTATTTTTGACGAAAGCATATGCGTGCTTGTGTGCACGCGCGAGTTTTTGTTGTGCATTATGCTTGAACCTGCCTCAGCGCTAGTCTGATGATTTCTCTCTGCGCACCCCGTGGTCTGTCGCACGTATCTCCTGCGAACGTTATTATATAGATACCGCAATTGTTCAAAATTCAATAAGCCGTCCCGCGGACAGCAAACTAGCTCTTATTATGGAAAATCAATGTTCCGAGATGACATTCAGCGCGCATGCTGCACACATAAAGCCGGACCACCGCACGAATCGCCTCTGCCTACTAGTAAGCCTTGTTTTCACGTGGCGTCGGTGCGACCCCAAATGTCATGACATTTTACGTCCATAATGGTGCGCGATACTGCATTCAGCGTTCTGCAACTGTGACTTAGTCCGTGCGTTTTGCGCTCAAATGACTTACGATTGTGATCACCAACGCGATTACAATAATAGCCGTCTCGTTTTCAGCGGACACAAAACCGCATTGAAAATATATACCTACATATATATGTAGTTTCCATTGTGTTGCAAAAAATTCAACTACGATGTAATTGATAAACCTCGTTATTTCGTCGTTCTGTTCTTTTTTTTATCGAAAGAAAAAGATCACTGTAACAATATTTTCTTTTTAGGTCAAAGAAAATCCCTTGTCGTAATTGGGAATTCGACTTATTTTCCGAGAAAAAAACTTATTGTTGCGACGAATATTTACATCGTGTCGTAAAAATCGAATTTACAGACACAAAAATTCAAATAAATTTTATTGCAGTTATGAAAACAAAAATTGCCGCATTTATTAGTCTGTTCATTTATATGTCATGAAAATCAAACTCTGATTTCTCGACATATACATCGTTCTGTCCAGCGACAATATCATTTCCCGATATTGGATGTTCATGATGATTTGCGCACTGACAATTGTTTAACTACACATGTCATGTGAAAACGAGGCATTAATCGCATGCGGTTCAATTTTATGAAATTATTAAATGTATATACATGTGTGTTTTGCGAGTCAAGATATCATGATAACATGAATATAAAGACGTGTAAATAAGAGAAAGATATAAAAACGTGTAATAAACGCTCAATTATTTTAAATGTTTCAAGTGTTTTATCATTGTAATATAAAATTGATTTTGTGTTGTATGTAACATAAAATGTATATATACATACACAAATGTGTATATATATACATATATACATATAATATACACTTGTTACTCATTCGAGCAATTAATTTTACTTTTCATTGACAGCATAAGAGAGATGTTTCTTGAGCGTTTTTCATAAGATGTAGCGCTTCTTCGTTTATAATGACAGCATATTTTTGTCGCTGACCTGTGCAAGATATTAGAATCCAGAATTATCTGAAGCGTCAGCGGACATTTTGTACGGCTTGAAAAACATATTCTTTATCAATATGATTCCACGTTTAATGCGCAAGATACTAGAATTAACGTTGCTGATGGATCGTTTTTGCATAGGACGATACTACACACGTCTCTTGCTTGTTCGTTCACTTGCTCGCTCGCTTTGTAATAACGTTATTGATTATCCCTACCTTTTAATTACGTCTAGCCTATCACCGGACTTCGAGAATATATCGCTTCAATTGATAATGCGTATAATACGTCACTCTTCTTGCAACTATGACGCGAAAAGTCGTATCGGTTATCTCTCTAATATTTCGCATCATTTAATATTCGGAAAAAAATCGCTACACACATATATAAGAATACCGTCTATTATGTGTGTGTGATATTATCCTATCTCTATGTATGTTTGACGATTAGATATTCGTTAACGTCAAAAATGATTGATCTGCGAGCTTGAATCCTAGGCATTTATTTAAAGTTGTAGACTTTATAAAATATATAATATCTCTGTATAGATTCTAGCGCAGAAATAATACTGTGTTATGATAATTAACTCTTCGTGGACACACACAGACATGGGTTTCCAAATCCACTCAAAAATTGCGCATCGGCGTTTCTAGTAAAAATTAGTTTTTTTAATGTAAAGATAAGTGATGTAAAAATAGTTTTTTTTTATCAAACGTTTATATCTTCGAAACTACTAAAGATTTTTTCAATTTGTTTTTTTGATCGACGCAGAATCGTTTAAACTTTCGATTCGAAAAATAAAATTGAAAAAATATTGATTTTTTGCGGAGATATTCGATTTTAAAGTCGCGTAAATCTCACAGACCCAGTCTGTCCAACTAGTCGTCATTTGTGAGGTCTGTCTACGAAGGATTAAGCGCGACGGATTATAACAAGAGCGCAATTAACGTATCGTGTTGTGATATAGCAATCTCTTGTAAGTTAAATTAACTTTTTTACTTGTACTTTTTGAACAAATGTTTATCTTAAATGTTATAGTGAAAAATGTCTTACACAGTTTACATTAGATATTTTGTTTAGTGTATAATTCAGATTGCGCGCGACTTTCTGTGACTTCGTATAATACTCGGTACATATCGATCTGCCTTTTCGCTATAGCGTCCTAACCCAGACGTAGTCTTTGCCGTTAACCTTGAACTTCAACCTCAGCATTAGTATTCGGTTGCGAAAGTTCACCGTTTCGTGATTCACCTAGGATTAAGAATAAACGTTCGAACAATGTAGAACAAACTAATTTGAGACTATAGAATTCAATTAAAGGAATCTCAATCTTTAATCCGAGGAATCAGAAAATGTGAGTTCGATTAAAAACATTAAGAGCAATTTATGCTAAAGTTAACCTAATCATTTCCAGAGATGTTTGCTTATCAAATTGATTGACGCACGACATATCACACAAGTGCAATAAAACCTGCACTCTAGCAGCGCTGCATGTTGTCCGTACATGTGTATTTTGTTGCACTTGCCTTTGCATTACGTAAGTCCACGGCATGTCTCAGGACTCTTTATACTCTGTTGTGTGAGTTGTCGTGTGGATGTCGATGGAGAGACAAGGCAATCGCATTTCCTACGTGCGTGTGTGGTCAAGGTCATAAGCGCATGCGTGCGAGTCGGCTCGTCGCCGGTTTTATTTAGAGATCGCGCGATACAATGCGAGAAACTGCATAAAAGCTGGCGATAAATAGTTTTTAGAGACCCTCATTGTTGAAGAAGACCGTCTTCAATTGTCTAATCTGAAGAAATCAAACCGACGATGCTTTTTTATAATAATGTTGTTGACGCGATCTTGCTTTGCAGGACGGTAATATCGCGTTCGATTACTTAATAAATACCGAGTTGTCACACGTGACAATTTTATTTTGATTATTTACGAAGCGAAATTTTGTTCATTGTGTTTATGCGCTCGTCATCAAGAGTTTTGTGAATAAACAACAATCGCTCGTGCACGCGCAGACATTTTTTGAAATCTTTGATCTCTCACGTGGAGAATACATTTCTTTCTGTGTCTGGAATATTTTTATCTTCCACAATCGCGCGAAAAAAGAGCAAAATAAATTATTATATCAAAAAAAGCGAGATTTATGTCGAGTATCTCTCACTTCGCATTATCTCTCTCTCTCTCACTCTGCGAACGAAAACGACAGTATTCGGAGAAAAATAACCAACATGCCGCGTACTTTTTGCGAATTTCTTCAACAGCCGCTTTTTTTCTCAAGCGCGCGACTGCGGGATCGAGTCGGCACATTTGTCTTCGCGTCTATTCCCGATATCCCGCAGGAGACGCTGAGGGAATGGAAAGGATTCCCGAGGGAAGCGCGCGTCTGTGTTCTATCTCTCTTCTCGCCACCCACTCCTGAATTTCTGACGGGTTCTCGACCGGCGGCGACCTTCGCGAAAGCAAGACTTCTCTTCGTTCATCGGAACGAGCTTTATCCTCGCGTATTTCTCCAACACGCAAAAAACGTAAAATATGACTGTCTGCTTCACGACGGACTTCTGATTCGCCGTTTAAACGCGTGTTTATATATCGCACTTTTCGCTCGTCTCGCATATCGAGCTAGTCGAATACGTTCAACTTGCGCGAGATATAACTCGAGCACAACTAATAAAATTCGGAACAGGATTTTAACTTGGTTTGATCGTATCTACATATACAAGTATGTACATATACATATATTGCCGACGTTTCAAGTCGATCAGACAGCTGTGTACCAAGTACATTATCCAATTCAATTGATAGCAAATAATGTGCTGCGTGTTCGTCGTCTCTTAACTTTGATTCTCCTCTTCCTTTCGTCATTGCCGTTCGATCCACTCGTCGGTGACAAGATAATTTGACGAACGACAGAGAAAGGATGTATATCTCTCTTTGATCGAGAAGCGAGACACAGCGTCGGCCACGCTCGGACATTTCGCAATTCGGGATCGCGATATAAATTAAAGCGTTGCTTGCACCCGCGTGACTAATTGCACGCGTCATACCTGGCACACTTAAGGCGAATTGCTTCTCAAATCCCGTCGGGATTTCCTCCGGGTTTCATTGTATCTGCGCCATAAAAAGTGCAGCGAAATTACATCCGTCGACCGCGCGCGTCGACGTTACAACCTTGTCGGATTATCTTTGTATTAACCAGGAAAACCAAGTCGCATGTGGATTATTTATTGCAGAACATGATAAAAGATAAAAGTGAAATATCATGTTTACGGAAGATATGTTCGTCGCGATTTTACGCGTTTTACGAGTGATTTTTGACACGATTAACCTGGAAATTGCGTTATGATAATGAACGAATTGTTTGATTGATGATAAAATCGAGACGATAACGTTGCGCATTCGTTTATATAATCAGAATTACAAATAAGACCGGTAACACATAAAGGGAACTGTTAAATATGTCGTCTGAACATATATCTTGAATACTCGTCACTGTCTCATCAGCGAGCTCGCAAAAAATAACTTGTTTTACGCATTTGTGATTAAAGCTTCGTAAACATGATATAAAATATTTTTGTAATCGACTTTCAGATTTAATGGATTTCTTCACGTTTTATTTTCGTTTCTTTTTTCAACTCTGTTATTCAGTTTAGACGAACATTTATATCTTATATATGTATATGATTACACACACATACACACATGTGTGTATATTACATACACACACATAAATTACACATAATTACATATATAAAAAATTAATAATAAAAAATTCTTTTTATTTGTGAAATACAAGAAATTTGAGATTATACTGATTGAGAATTATGCAAAACTTTTGCTCGAAACAATAATCACGAGTATGACTTAATGCGTTGTGGCTACAAGCCCTTCACTAGAAGGGAATATGAGTCTTGCTTGTCAGCGAATGCTGTGGGATTCAAGGTCGCTATACGATTCGGTGAAGGATGTTTATCGGTTTGTGTCCGACGATGTGTATCCCTTCCCACTCTCCCCTGAAACCATTCTTGTTTCTGCTGTAGAGTAGCTAAGTAACTGGTCGCGCGATCGATCACGAACGAACCAAAGAAGTGCAGTGAGCAACCATACCAAATCGATACCAAAAGAGACGGAGTTTTTAATTTGTGCGAGGGAAAGAGAGAGAGAAAGAAAGAGAAAGGACAAGGTGGAAAGAAAAGAACTTTCGCGCGAGATGACACGGCGAGGACGTGGCGGGATTTACGTTTAAAAGATCGAAAAATAACAACTGAAGGAGAACAAAGTTTACGGGGTGGCGTGCCTCGGGAGTGTGTGTGAGGAAGTGCGTGAAATAAAACAGTCGGCGAAATAAATCTATTCACGGTGTCGAGTGAAAGTAAAACGGGCAAGCAGCCAGGCAAGATGATGAAAAAGGAGAAACCGATGATGTCGGTAACGGCCATCATCCAGGGGACTCAGGCCCAATGCTGGGCATCACGTAACAGCTCCTGTACGTATATTTTAAGTAATATCGATTATCCCTTAGATAATTTATTATACGCAATCAATTATTAAGTATCAATTATTAAACTTAACGGGCTGCTAGAGAGATGAAACTTTAGCCTAATTTAAATTCATCGTTAAATTATATATTGTTATTACTTGTACGCATGATGTGGATGCATTTTATGCAGATTTGGATAGTCGTTAATATATCGCGTTTTAACTTGACAATTAGAATTAATCGATAATACGGTGAGCCGTTTTATTAAAACGTTAAGAGCCTTTTACCATTGAATGAACGTTTTGAAAGCATAAAAAAACTATTATAACATTCTATTATGACATCTCTTATATATTGATTGTTAAAACTTGATTTAATTAATATTGGCAAATAAAACATATTAAATCAACTTTTTGTTTGCAGACATGGTCTTCTAAACTCACTCAAAATTTACGGATTGGCGTCTTTAATAAAAATTGGTTTTTGTTTACTAAACGCTTATATCTTCGAAACTACTAGAGATTTTTTAAATTTGTTTTTTTTTTGATCGATGCAGAATTGTTCAAACTTTTGATTAAAAAAAATAAAAAAATAAAATTGAAAAAATATTGATTTTTCGCGGATACATTCGGATTTTAAAGTCGCGTGAGTTTCACAAACTTTGTCTTGTACTTGTAGGTCATTTTTGAGGCAAAAGATTTAAATCGAGACAGAAAAGTCGAGATTGCACAGATTTTTTTGTAAATTTGTTTACAAGAGTTTTAGCAACCGACTTCAAATACAGAGTTAATTAGCGAATTCTACATATATATGACATGAGCGAAATGTAATATAATAATACATTCACGGACATAACGAAACGTGACAAGATGCTCATAAAAAGTAATTTAATATTGACGAGATTACTGAGGACAGGGAATTGTGTGTGCTGACGTTAATGATACAATCGTAGTAGTTTTCTCGCGAGCTTTATAATTTTAAACCAATGAAAATTTCATTTTATTTGTTTCTCGTTCCACGTTTTATTATAGCAGTTTGCAAATTAATGCAGTTGACCTCACACACTTGTTTATTTCGCTCTAGATGCAATTGTATCTTCACAGTGAGAAAAAAGTGGGATAATTTTATTTTGACTATATATAATTATACGTAACGAACTATATGTGTACTAAAAAATATTGTGCGCATTGGAGCGGACCGAAACGAGGTGTAGCTTTTGCGAGTGATACGCGATCTGTGCTAATTAGCACTCGTTTTATTTTACTTTACTTCCAAGTGTTAGAGCGTTGTGAATTGAAACAGAAGTATCTAAACAAGACGCGGACTATTCTACGAATGATAATTAGCATAACAGTGCCGTTACAGCGGCTTAAATCTTCAAGTTTCGATCTTTACTCACCAAAAGACATAAAATATATATTACGCTTTATCGTAACGATTGTGAAACAAACGATGCTCACGTAAACAACTAATTCTGAGTCTTTTCTACTGCACAAACAAATCGTATAAAAATACGTCATATAAAAATACGTTATCACAAGAATAGCAAAATTAAAAATATGAAAAATGGAATATATTTACATCTCATAAAAAATTACATTACCACAAGTTAACGCACAAGCGTCTTTTTAGAAAAAAAAAGGTTAATATTGTTAAAAAATAGAAATTTAAAAAATATTAAAAAAAGAATTTGCAACAAAGATAGACGTATTAGAATATTGAAGATCTTTGTTAATTTGTTAAACGTGTCTTAGAAACGAAAGTATTGCGAGTCGCGTTTCGTCGATTCAAGGATATCGTACACACAGCACATTGCTCTCGAATTACTATAGCGTCATAGTCGTCGCGACGCGCTTGCTCAGGCGAAGTGAGTCACCCGGTTCGTGTGATAGCCTGCAGTGAAGCGACCGATACGCGCCGCATGGCCGACGTATACATATCGTATGTAGATGCTAAATGTACGGGGTGAAGGTCGGCTATTGAGACGTGAATGGCGCAATTTGTGGCTCTGCGACGGCGGTGGCGGCGGCAACTGATCGAGCGCGCGCGCTTGTTATCAGTCGCCGGCTCTAAAAGCGGTCTCAGAGCGAGTTTTAAAGCGCGAGCGAGCGCGGAGAAGGTCACGCGAATGCGCCTCGTTATCAGCGCCCACGGACGCGATTTACGAGCGCGTTTTCGAGCCTTATCACACGTGTCCCTATTGCCGCGCAACACGCGCCTCATTTTCTCTTGTGCGCGTTTGCCTTCGTCGGAGTTGCACGAGAACACGGGGAAATTTCCGTGGAAATGTAAACATCTCGCGCCCGCTAACGGAAACAACGATCGATAAACCGGAAAAAGTGACAGCTGCCATGGTAACTGATCAAGTCAATATCGTGTCGGTGAAATCTTGTACATGTCACTCGCTTATGATGTTTCGTTTTGATAACACATAGCTCGTCATCTAAATTTTCCACACCAAAAGTAGAGCGAGACGACTCATTTTTTTTGAGAGTTTATCGATACTTGTATCATATTTCAGATAAAATCAATAGAATAAAAAATAGAACAAAATATCTCAAAAAGTTCGTAAAACATTTGGAGTTAATGGGCCGTATGAATAAAAAAAAAAGCATAACCTTCCTTATCCTTCAAGTGTTAGGAGCAAGTCATCAGGTTGTTCAACATTTTTATTTATTGAACTTTGAGGATTTGCTCGTAAAACTGAAAGAATAAGGTTCTGCTTTTTTTTTATTCATACGGCCCGATGTTTTCTTTCTTATCGTTTATTTTATTTTATTGCGTCGTGTCAGAATTCGATTAAATCGGATAAAGTAGGATCTGATTACCATTGCTTCAGGCGACAAAATTCATGGTCACGAACGTGATCGTGATCGATCATGCCTGTGACAGTTCTGCCTCTTAAATGAATTTTCGTTGTTGTTTGTCGTGTCTGGCATGAAATGTTTCGCAAGGTTTCATTCGATGAGTTATCGGATAAAACGTTCTTGCGTTCTCTTTCGTTATCATCTTCTATGCACCAGGTAAGTTTTCGCGTAGAGATAAAAATTGCGATACGCGAATTGCGAGATATCGCGTGCATTATCGGTCGGTCATATTGCACACGCATGCTGATCTTTGCGTTATCATATCACATTAGACTGTCGATCAAGCACATATCAACGCTTTAAATTACAAATTTGTATAATCAAAAAATTGCGCTTAATATTTCTTGGTTTTTAATTATTAAAAGCATTTTTCTAATTTTAAAATAAACATTTTTTAAATAAATTGTAAAATAAAATTTTTAAATAAATTAACATTAACACTAGTTTACAGATTTAAAGCAAACTAACTTTAAAATTATTATTATAAATATTAATACATAATTAACATTAATTAAAATATTAATATAATAATATATAGTACAATATTTAATTTAACTGTTCAATATTAAAATGTATTAATTGTTAACTGATTATATTAATCTTTAAACGTTTTTATCCTCTGGATAAACATTTAAGGTATCTCGTAAGTGCTATCGTTGCAAATTATATTACTTGCAATTAGACCCGAACGACCTAATTATATTTTCATTGATGCGCGATATTTTCAGCGACGTTGTATGACGCGCGTTTGCTACTTATCTCGATGGCCACATCGCCCACAAGTGGCATAGTTTCAATATGGTGGTTGTGTTCGTAAAGATGATTGCGTCGCAAGCATCTTAGGTGACTTCAGAATGTTGCCCTAGAATCGGCGAATGATATTACGGCAGATCATTATATGAATACACAAGTTTTAACGGATTAAGTAATTTTATTAAAAACAATTGATTTATTCTGCCAAGTACAACAGAGAATGATAGGTAACAGAAAACAATTCGGATTCTTGCTCCATTTTTCTGTCACGAAATCCATCAAGACTTTTGCACTCATCATTGCGTTATCATGACGCATTTATCGTGTTACTTATTCGAGTGATATAATTCACGTCTATTATTCTAAAGTAATATATTATTTTGCTTTGGCTTCGCATCTCCATATGTTCACAATTTAACACGAGTCGATAAATAATACATATACATTTGATTCATAATTAAATATTTAAATAGTGACGCGTAATTCTGTTTCTGTGACAGTAATTATGCGACTACGCGTGCATATTAACTTGTATTTTACACATATACATATGTTAAAATGTGTAATATATTAATTATATTTATTTAATATAATAGTATATTATATATTAAAATTAAAATTATTATATTTAATAGTATATTATATTAAACGCGAATATATATATATATATATATATTAGGAGTATAAATAAGTTTCCAACGTTTGACAAAAGATGGTCTCAATAGTATGTTATTGTTAAAATTGTCAGCTGTAAAACGTCATATCGTAGGATTGGACATCTGCTAACAACATAACCTTGAAATATTAGCGATTTTGTATCAGCATCATATATCTTTTTTTGTGCG